CCCTAACCCTAACCCTAACCCTAACCCTAACCCTAACCCTAACCCTAACCCTAACCCTAACCCTAACCCGCACAAACCTTATAGCGAGTTATAACTATTATAACTACTTATAGAAGTATAGTAATCGATTTTATAAGACTTTATTATTAAACTATTAAAATCTAAAGAACTACTTACGAATATATAATACAATAGTATCCTAGTTATAATCGATCGACTTACTAAGTTCGCCTACTTTATACTTTATAAAAAAGCTAGTAACGTAAAAAAATTAGTATATATATTCTTTAAAAATATTATTATTACTTACGGTATACTAAAAAAAATTATTTTTAATAGAGGCACTCTATTTATTTTAAAATTTTAAAGATCCCTAATTTTATAACTTAGTATAAATTATAAACTATTAACTACCTTCTATCTATAAACCAATAGTTAAATAAAAAAAATTAACTAGATTCTTAAAATATACCTCTATTATTATGTAAATTATGATTAAAATAATTAAGTAATATTGTTATTAATGGCCTAATTCGTATATAATAATATAATTAGTAAAAGTATAAAAAAGTCCCCGTTCTATTTAAACTACGGATATTAACTAATAATTTATAGAAAAGTATAATAAGGACTATAAGCTATTAAAATAATAATAAACGTAATAAAACTCTAAAAAATCTAAAAAAAAATATCCTTAGATTTCGAGTTCGTATACTAATATATAAAAAAAAACGTAAATAAATTAAGGATTAGAGGACTAATTTTAAAAAAGGGAAATAATACCTACCTCTTTTACTATAATATTAAAATAAAATAACTAAGTAATAAATTAGATTATAAAATACTTAGACTTTTTAAAATTATTTAAAAAATCTTAAACGTTAACTATAAACTAAGACTTTTAAATATAATAAAGTATTATCTAGTTTTTTATATTTCACTTTTTAAACTAGTACTTAAGGGTTTATATATAAAAAATTATATTATTATAAAACTAAACGAATTAAAATATAAAGTTAAATAAATTATTAATTATAAAGTTAAAAACAAAATATAAGAATTCCTAATTAAATAGAAAAACTATAAATACGAGGAAAATATATAGGAACTATATAATAATCTCTAAAACGTATAATAATTTCTTAGTAATTATAAAAAAATAACTAAGCTCTAAAAAGCTCGTTCGTAATAAAAAACCTTAGGTTTATAAAGCTAGTTCTAAGCGAGGACTAATTAGTCTTATTTAAAATACCCTAAGTAGCTAGGCCTTCTATAATATATATTTCCTTATTACGGCTAGCTAGTCATAATAAGTATATTAATAAAAGTTAAGGCTACGATAACTAAATAAACAGTATTATAATCGTAAATAGCTTCCCTAAAGCTATATCTATAAATCATAAAATAAGTAAAGCTTCGGTAATCAATCGTAATCTTATTAAGAGGAGTTCTTAATAAAAATAGCTAAAAATAATTATAAAATCTAATACTAAGTTAATTACTAAAAAAGCTATAAAAAGTCTATTCTTAAGCCCGGTTTAAATCTATACTATATATAAATCTTATCTATAAACATATTTTTTATAATATTACTATTCATAATTACCTAACCGTTTACTAAATAGTCGTCCGTCCTACTTATATACGATCATCCGTCCCACTTTTCCATAGGCATCCGTTCTTTATTTTATTATACGATCGTAATTATATAACTTATCTATAGTTCTTCCATCCCGAGAGGAGTCATCCTAGGTTCGTTCCTTCTATATATATAGTATAGCAGCCGCCGCAGGTCTTATGGGGCGGCCCCTGGCCTTGTTATGTTTATTAGGTCGTAATATTCCTACGTTTCTAAAAAAAAATTTTTAGCCTCTTACTCCTTAATAAACTATATTCTATAATAAATAAGATCTAAACTATATTCTTTTAAAAACTACTTCTATTTCTTTAAATAAAATAAGTAACCTAAAGTAATTACTAACTAAGTTTATAATACCTCTAAGGTTTTTTTAACTTCTTATTCCTTACGCTCTACTTTTTTTTATTTTTTAAAATAACAATTTATTTTAATAAGTTAGTATTACGATAGTAACAAAAATAAGAAAAAGCTTATAAGTATTTATTACGTTACTATTATTATAATTTGTTAAACTACGAGTAATATACTCGCTATAATACTTCGAATTAAATAAATTTATTTTATATATACGATTATACTAAAAATAAAGAGAATATAGTATTATATTATAGCCTTTATATTTTATAAAAATACTAAGAGCCTAACGATTATACTTAATCTTATTATAATAAGTTTTATAAGAATTAGATTTTTAAATACGACTTAATATAGTATTAAGATATTATAAAAATAAACTTAACGAACCCTAACTTAAGTCGCAACTACTTATTTATAGGTTTACGGGACTAGACTTTTTAAAAAGAAAAGCTAATATTATAACCTAATATATATAATTAACCTAGAGGCTAGCTTACTAACTATAGCGGCTATAGTATACTATATATATAAATAAAATAGGGATACGGCTACTCCTCATAAAATAAAAAAATTATAAATAAATTATATATTAATAAAATAAGAATTATTTTAGATTAGAATAATCTAATACAACTTAGGGTTTAAATAATTATTTTAAATTAGATTAATTAGGGGTAACCTAAAAAATAAAAAATATATTTAAGAACGAGATTTATATATAGTATAGACTCGAGCTAGGCTCGAGGATAGACTTTTTATAACTCTTTAATAATTAACTTAGTATTAAATTTTATAATCGCTTTTAATTATTTTTATTAAGAACTCCTCTTAATAAGATTATAATTAATTACTAAAGCTTTATTTACTTTATGACTTATAAATATAGTTCTAAAGAAGCTATTTATGTTTATAATATTATTTATTTAGTTATCGTAGCCTTAACTTTTACTAATATACTTACTATAACTAGCTAGCTATAATAAATAATTTTAAAATAATAAAAAAACTTAGTTTTAGTTTAATATAATAATACTTAGTTTAATATAATAAGTATATACTTATTTTAATAAAATAAGTTAAATTTATTAACTAAAAAAGAAAAAAAAGTTATTTTAAAAAACTTAGATCCCTTTTTATAACGGCTTAAAAGTGCCCTAGATAGCTTAGGAAAGCGCCTTAGATGGCCTAGGAAAGTGCGCCCGAGCGCTATTTTTTATATCCAAAAATGCCTATTTTTCTAATTCCTAACCCGACCTACTGTAAGTGATATTAGAGCCCTTCTTAGTTATATAGGCTGGGAGCGCGCTATTCCGGTATGTCCGTTGCTACCTTATCCTCTGTAAGAAGGTGAGCGTAATAAGCAAATGCTAAACTAACGTTCATGGGGGCGCCTAATTGTCTTTTGCCTTTATAGTTAGGATTGCCTAGCAACTGTCTCTCATTATAAGACCGTTGTAGTTCCTAGTGTCTGTACCATCTCCCCCCTTCCTATTGGGACCACTGCAATTCATTTTGCCATCGTCGCGTGGAAGACGAAGAATCGCTCAGTTCTCCGTCCGGCTTGCCATCTCACATTCTTCATGGCTTACTGGTCTACTTAATGTGATCCACTTGCATCGCAACGGCCCCGGTTGTATTGCCCCACACCCACGTGTAGACTGACTATTATGGGGGCGAATACCAATCCGAGATACAAAGTAACCTTGCGTCTTTTTGGTCGAAGTGGCCGCGTGTTCCGATGAGATAAGGAGGCATACTCAATAACCATGACATAGAGATACCGACTGAGCGGTTCATTATCTGCTCTTAGTCCATATGTCGGGCTCACAGGCATGGCCTTTTACACGGACACAGAAAAACGAGTTTCCTGCCACATCGTTGTCGAGAACAAAAGTTCAATCAAGCACGTTTGGAGCAAAAGTTCGGGCGACTGAGCACGTCAAGGACAAAAGTGCAAGGACCGGGATCCACCCCCACCTGGGGCCAGCAAATGAGCGTCAGGTGCTTCACCTTAGAACCCCTGCCGAGCTCTTCATCAAGACAAGCCAGGGTATCGCAACTCCGATAGATGGCATGAGTTGGGATGTTGTGGGTGGCCGAATCCGCCAGCAGTCACCCCAAGGTCTCGGCCACATCTTGGCAGGGCTTAAGACATGACCTTCCCGCCTGGGCATTGCTTGGGACACCCTCTTTCCGTTAATGGGCCGAGCAGCCGGAGAACATATCTACGTTTGCACACTACCAGTAGAAGGAAGCCATCACGAAATCTTGGAGTTTCCGGGGAATCCCTATCACGACAGTAACCTTTTGATAGGGACCTTCCTAAAAGCTCATAGTTCTCTTTGTGGAGTGGCGTTCCAATTAGCCGGGCTCGCTCGAAGACCCCAGCTCAAGTCCAGCCTACATGCAGCAATCCCTGTCGAGCGGCATCTAACAGATGGTCTGTCCTACAACAGCTTCAAGGTCCTCAATTGCACCAATGCCGGTCCTTATCACGACATCGAACCCCTTATCACTAAGACAATCAATATCGGATCAGTCGTACAATATGGGTCGCCACTCAGCAACAAGCTGAGGCATGGAGTACAAAATGACCACCTTTGCCTTCCCCTAAGTGTGCGGAAATCCCGAACTGCTAGCACTTCAGGTTGGCGACCCGATCTTTTTGTCAGAGTTACTAGTCTCTCTGATTCTTGCCTTTCCTGCCCTGGTCTGTGCTTTCTCGTTGCGAGTATGCCGGTGCCATTGACAGATGCCATCGTGGTGGGGGGGCTGAATCCCGTTGAGGGCAAAATTGTTTCGGTCCCCTCTCACCAAGCCATCAACGAGAAAGTCAGCATCGACGAGTCAGGGGTCGGAAAAGAACTGGCTTCCGAGATTCAAGCTATTCCGGCCACTACGCCGTCCGATGATGGAAACCATGAGAAGGACGATAACAGCGACAATGCCATCATCATCACCGGTGCCGACGCCGCCCGATACTTGCTGCCGCTCCGGGATGACTTCGACCCTGCGTTGACCTTTCGGAGTATGTTTCTGGCAACTTGCCTTTCGGCTTTCCAGGCTGTTATGAGTCAAATCTACACTGTGAGCTTTTTCCTTGGGTAGTCACCCGGAGGTAGGACGAGCTCTAGCTAACAAAACGCTCTACTTCATCTACTAGTTCAAACCGACCGCCATCACCATTTCTGGAACTTTCATCGTTCTTATCGGCTACTTCGTGGGCAAGGCGTGGGCCAAGGTCTTCCCTCGTGGTGATAAGCTTGAGGCTCGTTGGAGGCAGGACCATCCCGAAGGCGAACTTCCGGCGTATGTCAAGATCTTCAAATTTTTCAACCCGGGTCCCTGGGGGCTGAAAGAACATGCGATCTGCTCCATCACTGCCACATCTGCGTCCAATGCCGCCGCCAGTATTCAGGTATTCGCGGCACAGGATCTCTTTTACGACTTGCCTCTAAGTCCGACAACCGTTGTACTGACCGTCATCTCCATTGGCCTCTTTGGCTACGGCATTTGCGGTGTTATGCGCCCCATCGCCGTTTGGCATGTCGATGCTGTGTATTGGAGCACTCTTCCTACAGTCAAGACCCTTCAAGGTCTTCATTGGCAGGATTTGAAGAACTCCAAGCCCCTGCGTTGGTTCTGGTATAGTTTCGCAGGAATGTTTGTTTACGAGTTCTTTCCTGCATACATCTTTCCATGGCTGAACTCCGTTTCCATCCCCTGCCTCGCTGCCATGAACGCCACAGGTTCAAAGGCTGCTGTTCTCACGAATCTTTTTGGCGGCTCCATCAACAATGAAGGTTTAGGCCTATTCTCCCTGTCTTTCGACTGGCAATATGTGAGGAAACCAATCATCAGTTCAGTGCAGTTGCTTGAAGACTAACGCATCACCAGATTACTTCATTCAACACATCACTTCCTCTGACTCTGCAGGCTCACTCTGCCATTGGATTCTTCATTTGCTTTCTTGCAATGATTGGAATCTACTATACAAACGCCTGGGATGCCAAGTCGCAGCCTTTCATGTCGACGCGACTGCGGTCCGAGGATGGTACTGCGTATCCCATTGCCAAGGTTTTCACTGGCGGTGTGCTCAACCAGGACGCCCTCGCCAAGTATGGAATCCCAAGGCTGACAGGCAGTTTCGCGTACGCGATGTTCATGGCCAATGCTGCGGTGAGTTATACAGGCCATACGCTACTATGTCGCCGGAACACAGGCTGATAGAACATTAGATTGGTGCCCTGGTTGCCCACTGCTTCTTTTTCTGGGGCGGAGACGTTAAGAGGGCCTATCAGAGCGCAAAGAGTGGTAGATATGATGATCGCCATCACGATCATATGACCAAACACTACAAGGAGACCCCTTGGTGGTGGTACGTCATTGTACTCGTCGTCAGCTTCGTCCTTGGCCTCGTCGTTGTCACCACACAGAACGTCACGCTTCCGGCTTGGGCATATGTCGTGTCCCTGCTTCTCGGAATCTTCATCGCGCCGCTGGTAAGCACGGTATCCATGGCTTTTCTTCCACTTTCCAGCTAACTCGCGTCCAGAGCACGATTCTTTACTCTCGTTTCGGTAATGGAATTGCTACGAACAACTTATCGAAGATGCTGGCAGGTCTCATCCTTCCTGAGCGTCCCATTGGCAACATGTATTTTGCCGCTTGGTCGCACAACGTCATCTCGAATGCTGTTAACCTTTCCAACGACCTGAAGATGGGAGAATACCGTGCGTGCCAGTCTCTACGACTTACCGAACTTTGCTAACCTGGTCCACCAGTTAAAATACCTCCTCGTGTTATGTTCCTCACCCAGATCTATGGTACCATCATTGGCGGTTTCATCAACTACGCAGTCATGATCTCTATTGTGAACGGAAATCGAGAGCTTCTCGTAGATAGCGATGGAAACAGTTCTTGGAGCGGTGCAACGATGCAATCGTACAATACCAACGCCACATCCTGGGCACTTGCTAAGTACCTGTACAAGACTGGTGGCAAGTACGCTCTTGTGCCGATTGGTCTGGGTATCGGCTTTGGCGTTGTCATTGTCCACCGTATTATCGCATACGTAAGTCTCTGAGGGCGTTGCTCCGATATGCCACACTTGCTAACGCATCTTACATCAGTTTATCCCCAAGATCCGCGGTTACTCCCTGTACGAGATTAACTTGCCCCAGCTCATCCAATATGCGGGCTATATTCCGTACAATGCGTCTCAGACTTGCGTACTCTTCAGCTCGCTGATTAGTGGTTTCTTCGTCCAATTCTACCTCCGCAACTACCGTCCTCGCATCTTCAAAGATTACTCGTACCTTGTCACTGGTGCATTCGACGGAGCTAGTCTTACTGTCCTCTTCATCCTGTCGTTTGCGGTGTTCGGCGCCGGTGGCCCCTCTATCCCCTTCCCGACATGGTGGGGTAACAATGCCGATGGTTACTACGATCATTGCCCGGCAGCTGAGTAAACAGTCTCCGTGAGACTGCGTTCGCTTCTTGGGCCACTTCAAGAACGATAGGCTTCGATTTTGAGTGTCAAATGATTCCGAGGCAATACTCGGGATGCACTGGGCACTCTGTTAGTAGCAAAGTTCGGCAAGGAGCAGTGGCCAACGAGATGTCCGAAGTTGGCATGATTCACTTGCTCGAGAAAAGGACAGCTTTAGATACTCGTTTTTAATAGAATCACGAGGCTTGATATACCCTAAGAATTTTTTCAATGGGACGAATTAGAAACTGAGCTATGCGTAACAAGTATTTGCGGTTTTTTTTATCCAACTAAAGGCCAATCGTCAAGGAACGTCGTCAGCCCCCAATTAAGGGAGCAGGCTACGACAGATTCGTGGTCTTCTCCATCGTAAACCCTTATCGAGAGACGTTCTAGCCGAGCGCTTCCTTTTAATCGTGAATGCATAGTGATGACATTATCAACCATTTGCAGTCCACGGTGCCGTCTCAGCCTCCTGTTATACTCGTCATCGCCTTCTCCTCTCTTCCTCGTTGGGTTTTGTTCCTCATCTCCAACAAAAAGCATGAGCGATGGAATATTCTTCTGGCATTCTATTTCCTCCTGAAAAAGCCTTTCTTCGGTAAGGATGTAACTTTCATTCCACCAAATGCTTGGGCTACTGGCCAAAACACAGTGAAACATATCTGTTCTTGTGAATAGGGCGTGTAGAGAGAGTAGCCCCCCATACGAATGTCCAAAGAGCGCTTCACGGCCTACAGTCGCCCCCCGGCTCTCGTAAAGCCGCCGAGCAACTAAAGGTTTGACTTTGTTCTGCAGAAAGCTAAGGAAGACATCCGCACCCCCTTCATGGCCAGCTGCTCCATTGGCAGGTGGAGTGAAATCTCTAGTTCTACGGGCGCTCATGAGGAATTTTGAGTCCGCCGGTATAGGGTAGCCAATAGCGACTACGATACCCTGGGTATCTGAAGAGCGCATACATAAATGGCGATGCATTGATTCCAAAGCACTTAGAAACACAGAGTTTCCATCCGTAAGGTAACTAGCCGCCCGTCAGGTTGATGGACACAAACATAGTAATCGGCCTGACATACAAAACCGGAATCGGAGCCTCGTGCTGTTGTCTAGAGCGACTCTGCCAGTCTCTTGGGAAACCAATCTGGACGATGTACTGTTCTCCGGAGACACTTCTCAGAGCCCAAGACTCTGCAGAGTCACTTTTTCCAAGCAAGGATTGGGTGCGCATCTTTCGAGTTCAGGGGATTGATTACTATGAGAAGACCGAGGAATATCAATGAGAAAGATTGCACATAATAGAATCACCGGTCTTATCGGCAATTCTTATACTGAAAACCCCTCGGCTCGGGCAACGTCTATTTCTAAAGTCCGAGTCTTATCCGCTCGGATCGACGGTTTCCATCACACAAGTTCCCATTATCTGCCTAGATTTTGGACCCGTAGTTGCGCTCGGCGGTATTCGGCCTTTGCACTATCGTTAACAACTTGTTCCACATCAGTTGGTCGTAGGATCCGACAGCTAAACACCGACACCATTGAACGCCAAGAAGTTTGGGGTGCTTCCCGGAACTCCTTGAACGGTACCGCGCTTACACAACTCTAAAATCCTGGCCGTGATGGCATCCACTGTTTCCAGGCCTGTCTCAAGACTTTTTAAATACAAAGCTAGCCCAGCGACATGTGGTGATGCCATGGAAGTCCCACTCAGCGCAACATCTTTGCCAGCCTCAAGAGACAAGGAGTAAATGTCTACTCCCGGTGCATACAAGTCGACACCAGATCCAAAATTACTAAAATTCCATGCAGTGTTGTTGACAGCACTCGCTGCAACGGTGATTGCTCTGGCAGTTCCAGCCGGCGATACTCGGCTGACGTCAACAGCTGCGTTACCTGCTGCGATGACGGAGAGAACGCCTTGCTCGGATGCTGCGTGAACCAAACTATTGAATGCATAGTTCGTCGGGCCGCCTTTCGTTCTAATATTAGCCTCAGAAATTGCGAGAGTGGGCTGCTTTCTGAGTGTCGACCTACCTAGACTCATGTTGATGACAGACACGGCTGCGCGGCCTGGCGTTTCGGTAATATTTTTCACAGACCAAGAAAAGCCCTCCATGAAGTCGGACATAACTCCCTACTCTAGAAGTGTTACAACGGAATCTCCTCTAGGTAAGGTCACTTCATATCGTTTGACGTACCTGGTTTGGCGCAATTACCTTTACCGCAATGACTTGCGCCTTTTTAGCAACACCCCACGTCTTGGAGGCGATTGTTCCAGCAACATGAGTACCATGTCCACTGCTGTCTTCGAAGGGAATCTCCGGGTAGACAGTGTAGCCAAGCTCTGCGCGACCTTCAAAGTCCGGGTTATCCACCCAGACTCCGCTATCAACCACATACGCAAAAGTTCCTTTCCCTCCGTTCTCATCATACGTGTACTCAAACCCATTGCGCAGACTTGCATTAATACTGACAGGCTCAGCTTGCGATATGGCCCCTAGCCCCCAAGTGGCTTGATTCTGCGTGACTATTCCAAACGGGTATACCGGCGTGTCAGGCTCGACAAGCTCAACCTAAGTCAAAGTTAGGTATTTGCAGGACGATAGTCACGAATTGTACTCACAATATCACTGCCCCTTATTTCCAACAAAGTTTCTTCGTCAAATGAGCCAGAATAGGCGTGGAACGTGCCGACGTCAAACGTTTTCTCAACACCCGAGATGTCATCCTGCAACAAGCCCCGTTTACGATGCACGTCCTGTACCCACTGGATATGTCCATGGAGGGCGTCTCCGCCGACTCCAGCTTTCAAACTGACAATGTATCGGCTCTTAAGGGCATTGTATTCGGCGTCAAATGGTTGTGTCGAGACGACCGACAATCCTCCCCAAAGCAGAGCGAAAGAGTAGTTGACTGGTAGCTTCATTTTGCACTGGGTTTTGTCCACTTTTGCAAAAGATCAAGGAGTTGCGGGGGGGGGGGGGGGGCTCCTGGGTAATTATAGGCTATGCAAAACTCATTCCGCCGTTTTCTACCATCCGTGATGTGTAATGACGTTTGTGCTTGGCTTCCTCGTATCTGCTCTAACTATGCCATTTCAGGCAGGTCACGAAGGTATAAATCTCCATACCTTGACTGAATGTCACCTCGGCAAGCTGTTTTACATGGGGATCTTCAGCGTAACTTCTGTGGTTGCATGATCTCTCTTATATCGTCTAAGTCATTTGTAGGCATTATGTTTCACTTCATACGCATGCAGGCTAGGAGATCTTCAAATGGGAATCGAAAGATTGTATGCCAACGGATGTTTACCTCCCATGAAAATCTTCCAACGGTATCTTCTATTAATATTATGATAGAAGTGCGGCCTGAAGCGTCAGCTACGCATTGCTCTATGAGCCTGAGCAGTGAGCTAGACTACATAAGGACGAATTCCTAGGGTGTACATAACCAGGTAGACATGCAAGCAAGACCAAGCGTCAGTGCCCCATTGAAAACGTGTACAACTTGCTGAAGTACTATGAATATATTTCAATCCCTCAATTAGTATAACCGATAAACCACACATATCTCTGCTTTGAGTTAATCGCCGATGTCTGAGTGAGGTCACTTCTTTCTTCATCCTGTCAAGGCACTCATAAAACCTTTCCCTGTGAGTTCCGGCCTATCTCTAATGGAGCATCGTACTCAGGAATCGGGCTTTTTTTGGTTGTGATAGGAATTGATCCAATGTATCGTGCACTAATTCCGTTGTGATGATTAAGCTAAGACGCAGCTTTATCCATAATAACACCGGACGGATCGCGTGTCACCTCATCGCCCCATTGAGCGTCCCAGCCATTCTCAGCTAGATACTTCTTCCAAGCTTCATCGTCGTCATTCAGGTGCCTTGATATGTCTGGAATAACGAAAAGGGCGATGATAGCACCAAGAACAGCGAAACCAGAGCCAATTAGAAATGCGACTTGGTTTCCCTTAGATGGATCGGCGGTGTACTTGTTCAAAATCGCAGTAAACACCTTTGATATCGTGTCAGTGCACATCAATTATGTAGTAATTGACGGTAAGAGTTAGCTTACCTGTGTGCCAATCGCAGCTCCCGCTTTGGAAAAGGCCGAGATAAGCCCCATCATTTGGCCACGTATGGACGTGGGAAAGCATTCGGAGGCAATCAGAACAACAGTACTGTAGTGGCGGTAAGTTAAATGGTCTTGACGGTTACAAAGAATACCCTTACCTTCCTGGGCCAACTTCGCCAAGCGTCAGAAATATGCCGTAGAGAACAACAAAAAGGGGAAATACACCCTGGATAGGATTCATCGCGCCCCCGAGGACAAAACCGAGGATTGCTTGCAACGTAAAACCCAAGGCCATAGTCTGGCGTCTCCCAATTTTGTCCGATAGGTACCCCCCGATGAAAGGGCCAGGGATGTAGAAACAGTTGATTACCACGCCCCACCCGAGCGTCTTGACAAGACTTTCCTCGACGTTGGCTCTTGATATGATTGTTGAGCTAAAAATTCCAAAGGGAATAGAGATCCAGTTATACAAGAACCAAGTTGATGCTGCACCAAGGAGCGGTCGCCAATACCGTTTCAGTGCAAGCCAGTATGGCATTCTCTGCTTCCGCAATGCTGACTTTCGGTACGCTGTCGAAACTGCCATTCGCATCCGGAACCAGAAGATGAGAAGGGGGGGCGCCATGCCCAACGCAAACGAGGTTCGCCAAACAATATGGTATTTTGAAACTTGTTGGCCAACGCACAACAGCAGCAGCAGCGGCACCAACCCTCCCCAAACATATCCTAGACTGGCGGATAAGTCTGCGAGCATCGCAAACATGAAGCCCCTTCTCTTGCGGAACTTGGCGTCTTCGTCGGTCGCTTCAGCGGCACCAGCGCCAGAGACTGGGTATTCTCCTCCTGCGCCTACACCGGCAATACCACGAGCAATGATAAGCATCCAAAACATGCCTGTAGTCGTGGTACCACTGGCTGCAGTCGACAAGGTGATGCCTAGTACCAGCAAGATTGTTGTGGCCACAGCACCAGTCTTGCGGCCAAGTTGGTCACTGATGACGCCGAAGAGTATCATTCCCACAATCATGCCGATCAGAAAAGCATTGGACAGCCTCTGGTATATCGTGGTAGTTAGATCGTCGGGGTAAAGGATTGCAAGCAGGAGTTCGACGTTCCCAATGACGGCGGCGTTGCTGCAGCATTGTGAGCGATACATATTTAGAGGAAGACAGCGAGAGTAGATGTCAAACATACTAGCCATCTGAGCCTATTGCCAGTCCAGAGAACAAAACCATCAACCAAACAGACAGACTGCTGTAATAGGTCTTCTGTGGTTCTTCCTCTACTACCCCTACATCAGTATTATCCGGGGCGTTGCTTGCGATTTTCTTTTCATCAATAGCAATTTCGTCGTCTCTAGTAGCTGTGCGCTCCTCAGTACCGGGGGACGCCCTGTTGACTTCTGGCATTGTGACCATCGTGTGGTATCATCCGAGTCAATGGCTCCCAAGAGACACAACAAAGGTGTGGCAAAATCTAGCACACAAGGACTCACGCTCCAGATTTGTTCATATGGGTCAGTCCCTATACTTAACCCGAAGGATGGCACTTCGTGTCGGCGCATCTATGCCGAAGAGAAAAGCGACGGCGTACGCCGCGGCAACTTTTCTTATCTTTTCTGCTCCGGATCGGCCTTGTAAGCCGACGGGAAACTGTCTACCGCTATCGACACCCATGTCGTAGACGATAGGATGGACGCTCGTACCTGCTGTTGCTGCTGTGATCCTGGCATGACTCATGTGGAGAGGCTTCCCTAATCCGGGAAAAGATCTCCAATTCCTGCACCCCGGAGAGGGGTAGAACGCGAGGTCGGAGACACTCCGATGTCTGATTTCTCGGCACTGCATCATCCCCTAGTGTGCTCGCTTGCGTTCCGTCTATTCAGCGCAGAGAGAATGAAGCTCTTCAAGTCTTTACTTGTCTATCTTTACTCCTTCAAAACTTGTTCGACGCATTTCGGAACAATTGCAATGCCTGTTTCAACAAAATGCCCAGAGGGCATACCTCTGCACCACGCACGGGTGCAAAAGCATGCCAGACGGCCCTCCAACGTGCTACAGCTTATTGCAACTTCATTGCTCTTATATGCATCCATCTCATGCTACTATTACCTGTCGTTCCAGTCGCGGGAACTTACATCAACTCCATACCAGAAAGCCCAGCAGTGCACTATTGCTAACCTACACGCCGACTTATCCTTTCTTGACCCCGCCGTACCTATCTCTGCAGAGGAGTTTCTCGAGCGCAGAGATCGACTGGCCCACGCTCTGGTTGCATCAAATGTAGATGCATTCGTCTTGGAACCTGGCTACACTTTTCAGTAAGTTTTTCTTCGACGGCCTGAAGACCTCTGAGTCTCCGGACAACTGAGTCCAGTCCTGACATGGCGGCAGGTATTATGGCAACATCTCTCAGGTTGACTGGGAACCTTGGGAGCCTGAAGAGCGGCCATTTCTCATGCTGATCCTCCCTCACGTGTCTTCTTCTGGTCAGGTGAGCGCCAAGACTGCGTTTTTATCGCCTCACTTTGAAGAGGGCAGGGTACGGATGCTCGGTATACCAACAAGGGAAGACGAACTGGACATTGTCATCTGGGAAGAGCATTGGAATCCATACGACACGCTGCTCAAATCACGTCTCTTCGACGGCCGACATGGAAAGCTCATGGTTGACGAGGAAATTCGTGACTTCATCGTCAGAGGACTGGATGCTGCGGGTTTCCAGACTGTCGGCCTCTCTCAGGAAGTTGAACTTGTGAAGCAGCAGAAAAGCCCTGCGGAAGTCGAATTGCTTCGCGTTGTCAATACTGGGACTGTTGTCGCTGTTCGAGCGATGCGACCCTGTTTAACGTCGGGGCTTACCGAAGATGAAGTCACCGAGATTCTCAACTCTGCTCTCCTCTCCATCAACTTTGGGCTATTCTTCAATATTGTGTTATTCGAGGAGCACGGAGCGCTTCCTCACGGTGGTTTTGTCACTGGTTTCAAAAAGTTAACCCCTGAGAGCATGGTTGTCATCGATGTTGGTGCCCATTATTTGGGCTACAGTTCGGATATCTGTCGCAGCTTCTTCATTGATCCACCAAAGCCAAAGGTTCCTACTATGATAGGCTCCCTGCTGAAAACATTGATGCGAACCCCGGAGGAACGACATCATTACATCGCGGACTCTGAACTACATGCTGAGAAGCTCAGGGTCTGGGACATTGTGTTGGAGGCACAATCAGCTGCCGCCGCCGCTTTTAAGCCGAATAACACAGCAGCAAGTGTGGATATTGCAGCTCGACAAGTAATTGAAGATGCCGGCTATGGATACGGTTTCACCCATCGTTTGGGTCACGGTATCGGTATTAAAGGTATGTTCCCTATATTCCTCATGATTCGGGGTCGAAAGCAGTCATTGATCCGTACCGCATAGCGCACGAGTCGCCGTACTTGAACAAGTGGAACAAAGATATCTTGCTTCAGCCCGGTATGACATTCACGAACGAGCCTGGAATATATTTAGAAAACAGATTTGGCGTCAGACACGAAGACATCTATTTGGTCAAAGCATCAGGTGAGGCAGAGTTGCTCACTGGCCGGAGGGCGACTGGGCCATACGATCCATAAAGTACATTGATTTTTGGACCTACTACCTACTATGTGTCGGCCAGCATAGTACCGCGCTGGTGAATACAGGAAGTAAGTCTCTTAGAGACTAGCCACTTTTCTCAGACCACCCCTTGATTGCAATTACATTATCCATAGCTCTTGAGTATTCAGCCAGCATCTCCAATGGCACCTAGTCATTGCACCAAGATCGTGCCACCTTCCACTAGAGCGACTGGGTCGACGCCAGACATTGGATCATATTAACGTCGTGAGAATGAATATCTCAGATGCTTACACAAAGATTTATTGGTAGGTGATATAGGCTACTCGTGTTGGTCAATTTTCAGCCACCTTTTTCGTTGGGCCAGCATTAGCAACAGGGATAGAGTTGTGCGAATTTCGCACTTGAGAAATGCCTTAATAACTTGTAGAGCTGCCAAGTCCGCACCCGCCACTTTCCATGTCAATCTGGTAGGCTTCTCGATGCTGGCTAGATTGTTGGGTTGATAATGTAGACGACAAAAGTGAGCTCTTTCTCTGTGAAGCTAAACAAAATATTGGCTGACGATCAGGGTGAACCCCTAGTCAGATTGGGGGCTGGCGCCCCATCACTGTGGCGTTTCGACGTCTGGAGCTAAGGTAAGGTACGCTGATCAGACGAGGAAACCCCTGAACTGAACCCCAAACTGCCATGGGGGAACGGGAACCCAAACGAACGACCCAACGTGCCAACGAGGATTGCCAGTTTGCGCTTCAAACGCCCTGGGTTTCAGCCGCTGTCAACCAGATCGAACATCCGACTTCAAATTCAGCTGCGATGGTTTCATAAATGAGGTTGCTCCCCATATTGAAAGATTGTAGCAAAACATAATACCCATAGATTTAACATTCAAACAACATGATTAGTTTTTTCTCGACCGCGACCTTTGCCCTCGTGGCGACTTTGGTCGCTCCCGTGTTATCTCAAGATCAGAAACCCATACCGGAATACGTGTGCACACACCCGCCATACAAGGTCCACATGATCTCTAAATCCCCTCTTGTGGTTTATATCGTCGACTTTATCACGCCGGCCGAGCGATCACATCTGCTGGAAATGGCGTCAGTTTAGTTTGCAGTGTTTGTGTAACAATGTCACTAACCTGTATCAGGAGCGGTACATTTACTCACTCTGGAGTCATTGATGCTTCTGGAGGCAAAACCACGCACAACGTACGCACATCTCAGAGTACCAGCCTGTGGCGGGATGATGTCGTTCGCTGCATCGAAGAGCGCGCAATAGCATTCCAGGGGTATGGTATGCCTAAGAGTCACGTAGAACCGTTGCAGCTGGTCAAGTATGGAAAGGGTCAGCAATACCACTTTCACACAGACTGGTTCACAGATCCCGCACACACCAGAGCTCATCTAGGCGGCAATCGGCTTTCTTCTTTCTTCGGTTACGTGTCGGCCATTAACGTCACCGGAGGCGGAACCAACTTCCCGCTCTTAGATGCCCCTTCTGACGAACGATGGTGCTCCTTCGTTGATTGCGACGAGCCTTGGGAGAGAGGCGTGACATTTCGGCCGTTGGAGGGAAACTTCGTGTACTGGGAAAACCTTCACGCCGATGGTTCTGGAGATCAACGTAATTTGCATGCTGGGTTGCCGGTCACAGGTGGACAAAAGGTTGGGATGAATATCTGGACAAGACAAGCACCGCTGAGCAAGGAAATTCGGGGAGATTAGTAGGACTCTTGAAGCACTCAAGGTTGGTTTATAGAGGGTAATGGGGGCTTGTAAGGACGAGCATAAGGGCTAGACACCCATGAACTATAACACACTTTTTCGTCTCTTCTCCGAGATAAAGCTTACCATGGTGCTCACTTCAGCCCAATGGAAGAATACAAAATCGCTCATTCAGATGAGAAATATATGTCCATAAACCTAAGGTCAGGTTTATGGTGGCTTGTGGCTCGATATGGGTTGAGGAATGGCCACCTTACTCAGGGGGACTGTCTAGCTTCTTCATCTGAAAAGTATTATCAATTGCCTTTAGAAATAGTCTACGCGGCAGCTTATGAATGCTGGCGAGATGCCAGCATATATGCACAGCACTATACCAGGCCAAGATGAGGAGAGACTTCCTATACTCGTTTAACGTATTTTTAAGCCTCTCTCAGTAACCAACTAGGGACCTGGTAGATCTCTGTTGTCATTTCCGAGAATATCTACGGCGAGTTGGAGGAATATTGAGCCTAGCTGATTTCAAATAGAACCACACTCACCAAAATACGATGTATTCTGAATAGGCCCCAACCCTGGATTTTACGCGTAGCAGTATCGAGGATCAAGCGCCACATGCGTATGATGTATTGGGTGAGAAAGCCGGCCATAGCATGGAGCGGCCTATCTGACCGTCTTTGGAGATGGATGCCATTGACTTCGACTCTCATAACTGGACGGCATTCACAATAAACTACTTTTCAGCCTGCGTGTATGAACATGTAACAAGACTTGGGATACGTAAGACAGAGGAACGAGCTTTATCCAGATCCCGCTGTGATGATCTGGTAATTGATACGCCCTTGCAAGCCGCAAAGAATCGGGTGATTCTTAGTTTCCAAGGTCGAACGATGCCTGAATGATCCAGTCGCAAGCTGCACGTTGACTATCAGCTTGCTTACCTGCACATGATGAACCGGAACTAGAATCGACTCGATATCCTGCCTCAACACATTGTGATTCTCAGAAAAGCCGAGGAAAGGCCTTTTCTCAATCTCTTCCCGCAGGTAGGACCTCGGCGATAGCTGCATGTTCCCAGCCACCAGACAAGTTGATGACTTGACACAAGGGAGAAGTGAGCACGCCGCGTGTTTCTCAACTGTCCCAGCAATGGAGTCATCTGAATAAACTTACAGCTTACCCAGCGGGCAAGTCGAGCCAGTCTTAAGTAGCAAAGGGATGTCAATCGTGCCGCAATCAGAGATTGTCTTTGCCCAGTATTTTGGTTGCATGGTGGCTTCGCCTGACAAGAGGTTCAACAGTCCGGTCTTTGAAAGCCTCCGGGGATAACTTTGCATACAAGAACCCATTTTCAGCTTTCATTTGCTCTTTCTGTCCGGCCATAGGTGATGTTTTCTGTATAGGATAGCCTTCTCGGCTTTGCTTTGAGTTTACTTTAGGCCTACGGTAAAAAGGATCGGGCAAATTCTGCGCTTATGAAATAGAACGCATAATTCTTTGAGACTTCGCAGAATGAGGCCGTGATGAAGGCTTCTTGGCCAACGTGTAAATACCCAAGTGCCAGCCTCTGCCATACGTTGCGATGTTTTGCGAAGGCTAAGCTAATATGTTCCAACCTCATGGATGATCAGTCCCAGTGACGAGTACATGGAGTCGCCAGTAAATGATAGTCATAATGTGCGCTGCTGGGCTCAGCGTGAGCTATTTTGAAACAAGTGAGGGTCAATGAAGTGCCAAAGGACGCGACGGTGAAGAGTCGGAATCCTTCCAACGCCCAGAAGTGTGACAATTGCTCGAAAGGAGTAGTGCCCCTTATCAACACAGTCAAATGCATGAATTATGGTGTGAGTAAGGCCGCCTTGAGTGGCAAGTGAATGCAAGGCTCCCTTTCACCCAATTTTGCTGATAATAATAGTCCTGGTGACTGGGTGATGCAGCTCCTACGAGGCTAGGATCCTGATGCCGAGCCGCCGAGCCCCAACCTGATCTGAGGGGCGACAGGTCGAGCCCATCTTTTGTCAACCTTTTTCTTCTCATCTTTCCAAAAGGTAATTGGAATTTTCGCTAATCTCCTATAATCTTGATAGTAGTGCACATTGCGTGAGTGAGTACGTCAAGGAAGAGGAAGTCAAATAGAGTGAAGGGCCGGTTGGTATTTCGGCTCTCATGTGTGGTAGAATGAATTGGCGTGAAGCACAGCGGCGGGGCAAACGAAAGTGGAGCAACGGCGAGGATCCAGGGGATGTTGACGGAGCGGCCGCGGGATCCGATTTAGCTCTATTCACCACGTATGGGAATGGTGTGAGGAGGTATCCATAGCTACTGTAGGCCAGTGTGGACGGAGTGATGAGGCGCGTTATTCTTCCGAGGGCTAACGAAGACGGTTCAAGGCAAACTCTTCAGGGTGTTCAGCAGCAGGTTTCCTTGCCGAGTGTGTCAGTGTCAACGAAAGTGTCAGTGAGCTTGACAGCTGGCCTGGCTGATGAGATGGCGGCGTCGCGGCTCACACATGATTGGGATATGTCCAGAAATAGGGACGGATGGTGCCCCGTCTGAGGTGATTTAGTGACATGAGCGCTTGGTACGTAGGGCAGCATAATAGCTCACTACCTGTTCGTTACGGGCTACCTTATCCCCCTTGCTGAGTGAGTCGTTTATTACTTGAACCTAAAAGAAGTTGCGATAGACCGGTGGGGTGGTATGGAGATGCGAGAGCTTGAAGGAAGTGCTCAGGTGGGCCGCTGCCCAGGAAGCTTGACTTGACTCGAGAATCAGTGACGGCATATCTGAGCATGTCGCGAGACTTGAGTATCGAGGTCCTTTGTCCGGCCCGCCCTGGTGGTGTCGAAATCTTTGTCCGGATACATGAGCCAAGGCCGTGCGGATACACGCGGGTTTGCGCTACTGTACACTTTAGGGCACGACTTAGGAGTAAGAGTCTACCTAAGCACCCAAGATACCCAAGCGCCCGTCCGCAGATCCGTGATTCCCTTGGACGGGTGGACAGTGAAGCTCGTGTTGACAGATGGAGTGGCACAGTGGCTTGGATTTAGGCCGGAAAATGCAGGAAGTTAGTTGCCGCCAAAGCCTCGGACGGCCGGGTGACGGCCGTGACTAGGAGAACGTGGAAACAGGACAGCAGACAAAGAGAAGCCGTTTAATGTTCCGGCGGGTTTTGTTTGGAAGGATGGCAGACGTTGAAGAGCACCAAGCAAGCAGACAGAGAGCGCTATAACCGGCTGTGGTGCTGTTCGTGCGACGTGCCATGATGGCAGGCCACAGACCACACGAAT